CATATGAAACAGTAACAAAGATGATGATACATGGACCATGTGGCAATATAGCTCCAAATGCCCCTTGCATGCAAAATGGCAGATGTTCGAAAAATTATCCACGTCAATTTTGTACAACTACTACAGAGAATAAAGATGGTTATCCAGTATATCAACGGCGGAATGATGGAAGCATTGTGAAAGTTAAAGGAATTATACTAGACAATCGATGGGTAGTTCCTTATAACCTCTACCTTGCTTCTAAGTATAATGCACATATAAATGTAGAGATTTGTTCATCAATTTTGGCTGTTAAGTATCTCTTCAAATATGTATACAAGGGACATGATCGTGCCTTAGTTAAGTTGACCTCAGGAAATAGTACCGAACAAAAAATAAATGTGATAGATGAGATACGACTCTATATTGATGCCCGATATATATCAGCATCAGAGGCTTCTTGGAGAATCTTTCATTACAGATTGCATGATGAAAAGCCGGATATTCAACGACTCCAAGTACACCTTCCAGATCAACAGATGGTAGTATTCTCGGATAATGAACCTCTCCAAGAAGTCTTACAATTAAACAATATTCATAAAACAATGTTAACTGAATGGTTCACAGCAAATACCATATACCCGGAAGCTAGGGAACTAACCTATAGTGATTTTTCAACGAAATGGGTTTGGAATAAGCAGCGGAGACAATGGACACCTAGAAAACGTGGCAACACGATTGGACGCATGCACTTTGCATATCCTGGATCAGGGGAAAGGTATTATCTCCGTATGCTACTCAATATCGTACCTGGGGCAACTTCATTTAAGCATTTACGAACGGTAAATGGCATTATTTATAACTCCTTTAAAGAGGCCTGTAATGCCTTAGGGTTACTTAAAAATAATAGAGAATGGGAGGACTGTCTACAAGAGGCAAGCATTATTCAGTCAGGAGCACAACTACGTCATCTATTTGCCACAATTCTTTTATTCTGTGAACCAACCTATCCAATACAACTCTGGGAAAAATATAAAATTGCGCTCACAGATGATATCCTTGCACAAGCCCGCCATGAAGCTCGAGATTATACTCTAGAACTAAGTGCCGAATATTTGCAAAACAAAGCGCTACATCATATTCAATCCATTCTTCGTCAATATGGCAAGGATCTTAGAAGCTTTCCATGTATGCCCACTCCAACTATGCAATTACCACTAATTTATGAAAGTCATCTTATCCAAGAAGAACAACGATATAATATTCTTGCGCTTGCTCAAAAAGTCAATAATGACAAATCACGGCTTAATCCTGATCAGCTTTTTGTGTTTAACACCGTTATGCAGGCTGTAAATGATAATAGATCTGCTTCTTTCTTTGTGGACGGACCTGGAGGAACTGGCAAAACATTTCTTTATAATGTTTTACTGACCGAAATTCGTGCTAACGGTTATATTGCCCTTGCTGTTGCCTCTTCTGGCATTGCTGCTCTTCTGCTTAGTGGTGGTTGCACAGCACACTCCCGGTTTAAGATTCCCATTAATCTGAATGAAAGCTCCACTTGCTCGATCTCTCATCAAATGGATATTGCTGTTCTTCTTAAAAAGGCTCAACTCATTATCTGGGATGAAGCACCAATGATGCACCGATATGCTTTTGAGGCTGTAGATCGAACACTTCGGGATCTAATGAAAGCAGTCGATCCAGTTTTAGAATATGAGCCTTTTGGAGGAAAGATTTTTTTGTTTGGAGGAGATTTTCGCCAAATATTACCAGTTGTACCAAAAGCCAGCCGTGAAAACATTGTAGATGCATGTCTCCAACGATCCTATCTATGGCGACATATACAAGTAATGTTCTTAAAGATAAATATGCGGTTACAGCAAAATAATAAAAATCTGGATGTTATTACTCAACAGGAATTCGCTAATTGGTTACAACAGCTTGGAGAGGGACATATACAAACAGTTAATCAGGAGGAAGATATAATAAGGCTGCCTACGAATATTGTCATATCATCTCAGGATATCCAAGACCTAATTGACTTTGTATATACTGATCTTACTGCTCAATATAACAACTCTGACTATCTGGTATATCGAGCGATCCTAGCACCCAAAAATGATGATGTTGATATAATCAATAGTGCCGTTATGCATGCATTCCTAGGAAAAACAATAACATACTTTAGTGCAGATTCTCTTGATGATAACAATCAAATGCATATTTATCCCGTTGAGTTCTTAAATTCTCTGAATATGGGAAACCTGCCTGCTCATAAGCTTTTACTCAAAGTTGGTTCTCCGATTATGCTGTTGCGCAACCTGAATGTTGCAGAAGGTCTCTGCAATGGAACTCGATTAATCTGTTGTAAACTTCAACAGCATGTTATTTATGCCAAGATTATCACAGGTGCAAATGCTGGAAAACATGTATTCATTCCTCGCATCACACTTACCACTTCCGATTTGAACTTGCCTTTTGTTCTTAAGCGTCATCAATTTCCTGTGCGGCCTGCTTTTGCCATGACTATCAATAAGGCTCAAGGCCAGACGTTGTCACGTGTAGGATTGTATTTGCATAATCCAGTATTTTCTCATGGTCAGTTATATGTAGCCTGTTCACGGGTAACATCAAGGGAGCAGCTAAAAATCTTGGTCTCAGGAAAAAAAAATAAAGAACAATCTGTAAATGTTGGATGCACAAAAAATATTGTATATCAAAAGGTGTTTAATTATTAATGTTAACTTTAAATACGTATTTATGAGCTTTATGAGCAATATTATGCGTCATGCATTTTGATCTACATTACGATATATGATTACTGTAATAGGAATAATCTGGAGTCAATAAAACCTAACAATACGTATATAACATGATGTAGAAACGATAAATTAAATAGTATTTTACTAACTTTACATATGAATTATAATACATAATACGAATTTTGTAATAGCGAAAATCGGCAAATTACCTGCCAAATCAGCTGGCTTGCACCGTTCTATGCTACATTGCTGTTGACGTAGGCAACGGGTATATACTAGTTATAGAGTAAAATAATTAAAAAACATATAGCATTCAAATTTTGCGATTGAATTTTTGTATAATTAAATATGCAAATTAATAAAGCGATAATTTAATTAACATTTTATTATTGAGCCAAAAATAAGCTTAGTAATAATCAGCTCGGTTCATAAATGGTTCGGCTCAAATAAATAAAATTAAAAATTAAGCTGGCTTTATTAATATTAGCCATAAGCCAAGCCGAGCAGCCGTTTTGCATCACTACCCCCAGGTAAAGATGGGTCCCTAAAGTATTTAGCATATAAAATTTATGTTCCTTTACATCCACATTCCCTAGAGGACATAATTCCTAGCTCTTTACTTCAATAGAGACATAATTTCAGAAATGATTTGTATAGATGCTTAAAACTATAAAGAACCTTTATAGGTAGTTTTTTTTTATTCCTTAATATAGAAATAAAAATTTTTAATAGTAAGGGACATTTGAATTATGTCCTCACAAATATTTTAGGAACCCATCTTTACCCCCAGGAGCATTTAATCTATTCAAGGAGTCTTCCTGCAAACCATTGGAATTTGTTTAAGAAGCACTTGTAAGCTTCTATAGTTTTGTTGAGTTCGGTCTGGAGCCTATCTTGAGCTTATAGATTTCTGCATGAGAGATTTGATAATCTGAGTCTCCTTTACTTTTGTACCAAATGATCTGATTGTCTTCCTCTCTGGTTTATGAGATTTTCTAACTCCAGTGATGATGATCTTTGTTTAAGCTACCTGAAAAGAATTTTCTGTCCTGATCTTCCCAGTTCCAATTCTGCCATTCTTTCTTAAGAATGTCATAATCATTGGCAAGTGTTGATCTTAATGTTTTGAACCATAAGGGTACTGGTCCTTTACTGGTGTTAGAAAATGTTTGTACGATTTTTCAAGGAAGCATCGTTTTGATATCTTTATCAATGAGCTGATCTACAAACATAATTTTGTATTTTCGTAACGATGGAATTGCCTTATAATACAAGTTCGTATTGTCAAGCTTATTCTTAATGGAGATTGAGCCTCCTCTCCAGTTGAAGTATTCTACCCATCAAAACGAGACTACTGTAATTCCTAACCTATTTGCCAGTTTTAGTATCTAAGTTGAGAAGTTTTTTAAGCATTTAAATGATCGCAGGATTTCATCAGTTAGGATATTGGCAGGTTCCCAGTTCTGAATCTGTGCTTGTTTAAGGTGAATTAAAGTGGATAAGCTGGCAGGTCCTGTATCACTTAATCTGTTCATTAAGTTAGAAATCTGATTCTCTGCTTGAATTTCTTCGATACTTTTGATATTATAGATTTTTTTGTGGTGTATAGCCAAGTTGGAAATGGTTGAGACTAGTTCCGCTGCCTACTTTAGGACCCTTCTTAGTTAAGTCGATAGGTTATTGCAAATGTGTTAATCTAAGAAGCAATGTGGCATCCGGTATTCTATTTTGGGAATTAGGACTCTATTTATGATATATTCTATATGTTTATCTATAATTTTCTTTCTTTTAAGGCAGGAGGCAACTGATATAATTTCTTGCTTAAGTCTATATATCGTATCTTTTGTATGTCTTTTACTTCCAATACATATTCCTAGGAAGCGAGTGAAGCTATTGCGATCATTCTCGATAACTTCTTGTTGGTCCAGGCCAATCTTTACAGAGTTTGGTCCTTTGCTACTGCTGTTGATAGTAATCAGGACTGATTTGTTGCCATTGATTTGTGAGTCATTTGCTGCATAGAACCACTTGGCTCTTTCTAATATATTTTTTATGTCTTTTTCAAATCTGGCAATCCATGTTGTGTCATCCATATATGCTATCGCAGCTTGTCGAACCAAGATTTGCTGTGAAGTATCGTCCTTACTAAGATTGATTTTCTATTTGCAGTTCATGATATATTCTAGTTTTGTATTGTCTTGAATTTCATAGAGTAAAGGATCATAGAAGATATGCCATAGAAAAGGAGAGATCGTTTCTCCTTGGTCTATTCCGTCCCCGGCAATTATTTTTTTTGTTATTCCCACATCAGTAATTACTTGGAGAGATTTGTCCTTGAATGGTTTCAGGATTAATGCTACTAGATGTGCTGGAATCTTGATTCTTTGTAATGCTCTTTGTAACATTTCTAGACTGATCATGTCATATGCTTTTGCTATATCTTGAAACAAGATCCATAATTCTTTCTTTTCCTCCCATGCTTCTTTGTAGATATTATTTATCAGATGAATAGACTCTGATGTACTTTCTTCAGGTAGTCCTACGAAGTTGGGTCCTTTTAGGATATTGTGTGTTTTGCATATAGTGGATAGCCGGTTGGTAATGATCTTGGTAAAGCATTTTCAGAAGACATTTAAAAGTACTATTGGTCTAGTATTACTTAGGATACCCTGCCATTCTTTGCCCTTTGATATTGGATAAAGAAAACTTTCTTTCTATATTAAGAGAATTATATTATAGGCTAAGTATATGTTCATAAGTTGGCATAAAGTTTTTCTTTCAAATGCTCCTAGGTTTTTAAGTATTTCATATTTGATCTTGTTGGATCCTGCTGCTTTGTTCTTTGGAAGATCTTTGAGAACTTCTTCCAGTTTAGTTTTGCTAATGGTATTCTTTGTATTCTTATATCATTCTTCCTTTATTTCAGTTTTAGGAGCATACTAGTCCTTCCATTTGTCATCCAACAACTCAAAATTACTGTTTCACTTCTTAAAAGCACCTTTGTAATATACCTCTGTTTGATGTAGAATTTCTTCTTTGTCTATCAACATATACTCTCTTCCCTGATCATCTTGAACCCGGATCCTGTCTATGATTATCTTGTCTCTGAAGTTATTTGTCAATCCTTGTACTATTTTTCTCTGGTTTTCTTTGAGATTTCTGTATCTTTCTTGAATTGCTTCTTTAATTTCAAAGTTTATTTGGTTTCTTTCTTCACTGAGGCAGATCTTTTTTAGGGAGTTAGCTGTTTCTCTAAGCTGAGATATTATCATGTGTTCTTTTTCTTCTTCCTCTAATATTATTGTAAGCTTATATATAGATTCAAAAACTGGTGCTATTGATACAATGTTTTGGTTAATTTTCTTAAGTTCCTTCCATAGCTTTTGTTTTAGCACTGGTTTCTTCCCAGGATCTTTTAGTTTGGTCCAGGTGTTAAGTACCTTGTTCACTGAATGGTAGCTATAAAAGGCTAGCTGTTCTTTGCGATTTTTCTTTTTGTTTTAAGACTTAATTCTTCCTCTTGCCATTCTCTTCTAACAGTATAACTGATTGAAAGCTGTGGATATGAGGACTTTTTCGAACAGCTCCCAGGATTCTTGAATTAGTTGATTTTGTCTGTTATTGTTGGTTTGATTCGAGATCATCATCTGAATCTGACGTGAAATGTTGCTTTGCTATAGTTTTTGATCAACTTTTTGTGTATACTTTTTCCATTGGAAGTCTATTGTTTTGTTGATGTTAATTATCTTTTCTCTAGGTAGTTTTGGTATGCTTGTACTTATCTGGTGGTCTTTGAGTATGGCACTTCATGCTATTTGAAGGATTAGCACAGTGTAATTACTATTAGTTACTGAACGGAAGTCTATATTGCTAAGGTGAAGCATATTGTTTGTTATACTATAAGATTCCCAAATATAGTCAATCCTACTAGAGCTTGATTTGTTTTTCCAAGTATGTGAAGTCTCAGTTAGTTCCCATAGTTGTTGTAAGTCTGAGAGGTTCCAGTTGTTCATATAATCAAATAGTTCAATTTCCAGATCATTTGATCTGATAAATTCTGTTGTACTATTTAATGACTTACGGTCTGTTCTGGAATTTACTGTAGTATTGAAGTCACCCATGATAATGATTTCATAATTTCTTCATGAGTATGCTTGCAACAGATCTTGTATTTTCTTCTGCAATGCATGGCTCTGTTTTTTGTCACTGGGTAAATATATTTGTGCAATCCATATTTTATATCCTTTATTTAGGAGGTTGATTGCTATTAGGTGATCTTCAATCTTATCTACAGATGCTATGAATTTCTCAATGTTTTTGCGAATTAATAATGAAACTCCTATACTCCTGGGGTTGTTTGTTTCTGCGCTTGAGAAGCACTTGTATTGTCTTTGATCTGCAAAAGCAAAGTGTTGG